GAGTTACATTTTCCTTCTGTGAAAGATTGAAGAGACAAATTTGGGATAAATAATAACGTGATTATGAAAATTCTTATTACTTTGAGGTAGAATGGGCTGAAAATATGAATAGCCCTTTGATTTTTCTTTTTTTTAGTTAAAATCTGGGTCCCTCTCATAATATTTCATTCATTTATAATATATTAGTAAAGGGATCCAGGTTTCTTTGGTGTGTATTCTTTTTTTTTCTTTTCTTTTTTCTTTTTTTCTAAGACAGTCTTGCTCTGTTGCCCAGGCTGGAGTACAATGGTGCCATCTCAGCACACTGCAATTCACCTCCCAAGTTCAAGCGATTATCCTGCCTCAGCTTCCTCCTACCTCACCTTCCCAAGTAGCTGGGATTACAGGTGCACCACCACACCTGGTAAATTTTTGTATTTTTAGTAGAGACAGGTTTTCGCCATGTTGACCAGGTTGGTCTCGAACTCCTGGCCTCAAATGATCTGCTTGCCTCAGCCTCCCAGAGTCCTGGGATTATAGGCGTGAGCCACCATGCCTGACCTGGCATGTATTCCTAACTTGTGGGGAAATTACTTCAGAGTACAAGCCTTGCTCATTACATGTGCAGACTCCTGGCCCTCATAATCATGGATCGGCTGTAATTTGAACATTTGTATTATTCACTCTCAGCCAATATTTAAAAAATTATCTAGATTTGAAAACAGTCAAACCTACCTGAGAATGGCACCATGGACTTTGTCCAAAAGTGAAAACTGCCTACAGCCATTCAAAACCAAAACTTGAACTAAGCAGAATAAACAGTTATACCTAAGAATTATAACATTTTCCTCTGTTCTTAAGAGGAATCAGAACAACATTTTTAAACCTTTAAATGTTGTCTAGGAACCAGTGACTTAGTTTGGTTAATTTTCCTTCATTCATACCAAAACAAAACAAAACAAAAAAAGAGTATTGAGTCTTTGGTTGGTTTTGAATATTCCCAGTGATTATTTTTTTGACATCTCGTTCCCATACATGAACAGTAATTACTTATGGGAAGTGGCCTAATTTTCTTAAATAATAATCTATGATAACACACACACACACGGAAAAAAATCATTGTTGTTAAAAATGTGTCAGTTGTAAAGATACGTGTCCTTTGAATCAGCATGTTGGGAGATGCAGGAGATTCCTGCCTTGGAACACCTGCCTAAAGATTCCATTTAACAAGGGAATTTTGTATGATGAGATATTTGCAAAAGGTTTGGATTCTGGAAAAATATATACAAGTCTTTTCCTAGGCGGGAAAATACACACACACACACACACACACACACACACAGACCCCTAAGGAGTCCAATGTAATTTTATTTCTCAAATTCCTGTTTCTCAAAGTTTTAGGAGAATAAGACAATTTAGGAGAATCAACACACACTATTCATGTCTCGTAATACACCAAGATTGTTTTTCTATTTTCCTGAGTTACATCAATAGAAAAAACATAAAATGACAATTAGTCTCCCTGTCACTTCATCAGAGGTTTTATGGATTTGTAATTTTCATGTATAGCACATTCATGACATAACTTACACCCTTATTTATTTGAGATGGTTTTATTAGATGATACCTACAGGCTATGAAAAAAAAATCTTTTCTAAGCTTTCTGTATGAGGCAGTCATTGTAATGCTTCATGGTATTTTTGAAAACATTTCTAATATTCCAGCCTTTAACAATAAGCATTTTTTCCTCTATGACATTAATTTACTCCTTAAAGTTTTCTCTTCAGCTGTAATCTTAGGGTAAATGGGAAATAGACATAAGCGCATTTAAATGTATAATGCACTGATTCTCTTGTGAAGGTAGTCTTGTAATGAGGAAGGAATTCAAAACAGAACTTGTTTTCAGCTCTGCAAATGTGCAAGAAAGCTACAAACCTGCCAATATTCCATTCACATTTAGCTACACATTTCTGAGACACATCTATCTTTACTAGAGGGCAGGATTTGCTATCTCTCTGGAGTAGCATATGCATAATAAAGATGGATAGACATTGATAATTACTTGCATCAAAATGATGCTTTCTTTGTGTACCTAAATTTAGGAACAAAATGTTAGAAAATTGTTTCAAAAGTGCCTTGGTTAAAAATACCAACTGTATCAAATCTAATCTACTCATTCTCCTACTCTCCTCATCCACTGCTTCATACCTTCTCATCCTCAAGCCACCAGGACTTTTTCTCCTATCTTCCTTTTCAGTTTTACTTACTATTTCCCTGAGAAACAGGAGTAATCAGAGAAGGACTTCCACAGACCACCTCCCCCACCACCATATAGAGTCACCTACTTGTAACTGTGCCTTGTATTCTCTGTCTTCCATCTGTTCTTATGAATGAAATGTTCCGAGCTGTATCCTCGCAACTTGTGCACTAGATCCCATTCCTTCCCCTACTCAAAGAGTGATTCAGCAACTTTCTCCTCTTCTCGCAGCATCACTCCCACCCTCTCTATTGGATCATTCCCACAACCAGCTTGGTGGAAGCAATGATCAGCCCACTCCCGGATTCTTGCAGTAGCCTCCTGCCTGGTCTCCTTTTAGCCCCTGCTCCCTTTCACTCTATTTTCATCGCAATAGCCAGAATGATTCCATAAAATCCACTCTTGCTCAAAACCCTCCAGAGGCTTCTCATTCACTGAGTGTAAAAGTTAAAATCTTTAAAGGAAAAAAAAAAAAAAACCCAACCCTAGTTGGTCTTCCCTGCCCTCTACCTTTTCTTACTTCTCTAACGTAATATCTTACTCCTCTCCTTCAGCTCTTTCTGCACCAGCCACACTGATTTTATTTTTCCTAGAACACCCTGGCTAGAACTTCCACCTAGCCCCAGATTTTCTAGTTTCCTAGAACCCCCACTACTTGCCCTAGATTTTCATCTAGCTGGTTCCCTTACCCTTTTTTGACCTTTCATCTTTTATATCATCAATGAGGCCTTTCCTGTCCACTCTTTAGAAGTATAACTGCCCCCACCTCCCCTAGTCTATTTTTCTCAGTTACACTTATCTCCATGTTGTGAAATACCATATATTTTTACTTGTTAATTGTTGTTTATCGTCTGTCACCCCCCTCAACCCTACCCCAGGTAAGGTGCTTCAGTGGTTGGAATTGTTTGTTTCCTTTTTACTCCTGTCCCATATTACTGGTGTATTCCTAGAACATGGTAGGTACTTATAAATATTTGTTGAAAGAGTGAATTTGTAAGAGTGTAACTGGAAAATGACCTAGGAGTATCAGTCATGCAGACTGAATTTTTTTTAATCTGTTTCACCAATTCTTTTTTTGTTTGCTTGTTTGTTTTGTTTTGAAGATAGGGTCTCACTCTGTTGCCCAGGCTGTAGCAGTGGCGTGATCTCAGCTCACTGCAACCTCCACCTCCCAGGTTCAAACGATTCTCCTGTCTCAGCCCCCCAAGTGGCTGGGACTATAGACGCACACCATCACTCCCAGCTAATTTTTGTATTTTTGGTAGAAACAGGTTTTTCCCATGTTGTCCAGGTTGGTCTCGAACTCCTAGCCTCAAGTGATCCGCCCACCTCAGCCTCCCAAACTGCTGGGATTACAGGCGTGAGCCACCACGCTGGACCCAATTCTGCTTTATAAACATAATTTAAATACAGTTTTAGCTTCAGTTGAGTCACTATGGGCATTCCTCTTTCCAGGAATTGTGGGACTCTCCCTCTTATATGCAGTTGACCCTTGAACAACACGTGTTTGAACTATATGGGTTCACTTACACACAAATTTCTTTTTTTTTTTTTTTTTTAGAGACAAGGTCTCCCTTTGTTACCCAAGCTGGAGTACAGTGGCGCCATCATAGCTCACTGCAGCCTCGATCTCCTGGGATCAAGGGATCCTCCTGCCTCAGCCTCCTGAGTAGCTGGGACTACAGGTTCACGCCAACATGCCCAGCTAAATTTTTTTTATTTTGTAGAGATAGTATCTCGCTATGTTGCCTAAACTGTTCTCAAACTCTTGGCCTCAAGCGATCCTCCTGCCTTGTCCTCCCAAATTGCTGGGATTTATACATGTACACCATGATGCCCAGCCCACAGATTTTTTTTCAATAAATACCTTGGAAAATTCTTTGGAGATTTTTGACAATTTGAAAAAACTTGCAGGTGAATGTGTAACCCAGAAATATTGAAGAAATTAAGAAAAAAGTGTGTTATGAATGCATAAAATATATGTACATACTAGTCTATTTCATAATTTACTAACTTAAAGTGTATACAAGTCCACTATAAAATTTAAAATTTATCAAACCTTACGCACAGACCATACTATGGAAGATTCTTAGTGGAAAGAAATGTAAACAAAGAAAGATACAGTATTAAGTCATAACTGCATAAAAATAACTATACTACTCTAATAGTTTTATAGCAACCTCCTGTTGCTGTTGTAGTGAGCTTATGTGTTGGGAGTATCCACTTAAAACTCTATGTGATGCTAATCAATCATCTTTGAGTGAACAGTTCGCCTCCAATAAATTGCATAGCTCAGTAAAAAGTGATCTCTAGGAGTTCTCGAGTATTTTTTTTTTATCGTGTTTAGTTCAATGCTATAAACCTTGGATGTGTGGGACCATGGGGCCCATATGAAGTGCCACTAGTGACGCTGGAAGTGCTCCCAATAAGCAGAGAAAAGTTAAGACATTACGAGAAAAGGTTGAATTCCTTGATATGTCCCAGAGATTGAGGTCTGCAGCTGCAACTGCCTGCCATTTCTAGATGAATGAATTCAGCCTAAAGACCACTGTAAAAAGACACAGTGGCTCATGACTGTAATCCCATGCTTTGGAAGACTGAGGTGGGAGGATCACTTGAGTCCAGGAGTTCAAGACCAGCCTGAGCAACATAGCAAGACTCCTGTCTTTATGGGGAAAAAAATTAAATAAAATAAGTCTCATGTTAAAAAAAAAAAAAAAAAGCCAGGCATGGAGGTGTGCACTTGTACTTATAGTTCCAGCTATTCAAGAGGCTGTCCTCCAGTGAACTGTGATTGCACCACTGCACTCTAGCCTGGACAACAGAGCAAGACCCTGTCTCTTAAATAAAAGAAAAGGGAACTTGTGAAGCCATTACTGCAACTATGCCAGTGGGCATGAAAACTTTACACTTTTTGCGAAATACAAAGTATGTGTTAATGGACTGTTTATGTTATGGGTAAGGCTTCAGATCAATGGCAGACTATTAGTAGTTAAGTTTCAGGAGAGTCAAAAGTTATATACAGATTTTGAGCTGCATGGTGTGGGAATCCCCACATTGTTCAAGGGTCAACTGTACTTTAAAAGAAGTATACCGGACCTTGAGCCCTCAGGAACGAGATGGCGGTTGTCTGGAGGCTGAGTGCCCTTTGCGGTGCCCAAGGAGGCCGAGCTCTGTTGCTGTGAACCCCAGTGGTCAGACCTGCTCATATCTCAGCATTTCTTCAGGACCGACCTATCCCAGAATGGTGTGGAGTGCAGCACATTCACTTGTCACCCAGGCACCATTCTGGTTCCAAGGCTGCATCTCTCCACTGGACTAGCGAGAGGGTTGTCAGTGTTTTGTTCCTGGGTCTGCTTCCGGCTGCTTATTTGAATCCTTGCTCTGCGATGGACTATTCCCCTGGCTGCAGCCCTCACTCTTCATGGTCACTGGGGCCTTGGACAAGTTGTTACTGACTATGTTCATGGGGATGCCTTGCAGAAAGATGCCAAGGCAGGGCTTTTGGCACTTTCAGCTTTAACCTTTGCTGGACTTTGCTATTTCAACTATCACGACATGGGCATCTGCAAAGCTGTTGCCATGCTGTGGAAGCTCTGACCTTTTTGACTTCATACTTTGAAGAATTGATGTATGCCTCTTTGCCTCTGCTTTGTCATGCCATTCAGCTCACAATAAGGAAGAAATAACAGATAAGTCCATTTGTGGACAGCCTTTTTCTCTTAATAATCTTAATCTTAAGATTATTTTCAGAATTTAATCTTTGAGGAAAAGGTTTGAGAGGAATTGTGTCTAAGAAATTGTGAGACTGAGTTCTGTATTCTGGTGAGTTAATGGGGTTGCCTCCCAGATTCTCATAAGACTCACAGTATAACTAAACATGATATATGAGCTTTTGCCTTTTAATTTATCAATCTCTTGAAGATAATCCAGCTTTATTACTATTAGTATATGATCAAACTTCCATATTTGCCCTGGCAATAATGGACAAAGGGAAATACTCTTAATTCATGAATAAAAACTTTGCAGAAAATTAGACAGTGTGAAAACTTCCCTCTCTAGTCAGTAGATACCACCTACTGATGGTTACATATACTAGGGAAATTTTAAAATTAGGAAATGCTGACATCTCACATTATAAATTTCTAAATCCTAGGAAGAAATGCTTGGAGTGCTTCTGAATATAGAGAAGTTCCATTTAAGGGCAAGTTTCCCCTTGTAGATGTATCAAAATATTTCCAATTCTAAACTGAGATTTAATTCTCAAATGTGTTCTACTTGTTCTAAAACAAATATAAAACTCTTAAGTAATAAATTGTTATTTTCGCACAATGGGACTCTCTAATGTGAAAATGTATTCTATGAAGATAATTTTTTTTAAAATAAAATGTTGTATAATAAAAATGTCTTCTCCGCTTTTATTAAAAAATAAATAAATAAATAAATAAAATAAAAGAAGTATACCATGAGAAAAGTATGTATTTTAATACTTTCTGAACTTTTATACTTTCAATAGGTTGCTGTTAAAAATTACTTTGGTTCAATGTAGACATTCAGCCTATTTATAGTTATTCTTCTTATGGTCCCTCTTTAGAGATGATCTGCTATAAATTTCCCTCTTAAGTGCTGTTTTAACTGCATTACACACATGTTGATATGTTGTCTTTTCATTATCATTCAATTCAAAATATTTTTCTATAATTTTCCTTGCAATTTATATATTTTAAGTTATTTAATTTCCAAATATTTGGGAATTTTGCAGATTTATTTTCTATTGATTTCTAATTTAATTTTATTTTATACTCAGAACCCATGTTTTTATAATGCCAATTCTTTTAAATTTTTTGAGACTTGCTCAATGGCAACTGACACTCTGATAACTGTCAGATACACATTTTTTTTCCCCAATGCACATGAAACATCATCAAGAAAGACCATTATCTTTTTGTGTTTTCCATTATATGTTGAACATATTTATGCTAGCTATTTTAAGACTTTTCCTATTCCGTCATCTTTGTCAATTCTGTTTCTGCTGACTGATTTTATGCTAGTTATGGGATATGTTTCCTTGCTACTTTTTATGTCTAATAATTTTTTATTGGTGTTGGACATTGTGATTACCATGTAGTTGTGTGTCTGCATTTTATCTTTTTTCCAAGAACATTCACTTCCAGCATGTAGTTGAAGGTCAACTTGATCCTTTCAAGCTTGTTTTTTATTGTTGTTGTTGCTGTTGTTTTGTTTATTTTTTGAGACAGAGTTTTGCTCTAGTTGCCTAGACCAGAGTGCAATGGCACAATCTCAGCTCACCACAGCCTCCACCTCCCAAGTTCAAGCAGTTCTCCTGCCTCAGCCTCCTGAGTAGCTGGGATTGCAGGCATGCACCACCATGCCAGGATAATTTTGTATTTTTAGTAGAAGCAGGGTTTCTACGTATTGGTCAGGCTGGTCTTGAACTCCTGACCTCAGGTGATTCGCCTGCCTCGGCCTCCCAAAGAATTATTGGGATTACAGGCGTGAGCCACTGCACCCAGCCTCAAGCTTGTTTATATGCTTTCTTAAGACAGTTCTAAAGTAGAAGACGACAAAGTTTTTATTTAAAGAGCCAGATAGTATTTTAGCTTCTACAGTTCCTTTTGCGTATGTGTTTGTACAACACCTTAAAAATGTAAAAAACGTCTTTTGCTTGTGAGCCATACAAAACCAGGCTTTGGGTTGGATTTGTCCTGTGGGCTGGAGCCACAAATTGCTGTTCTAAAGAATTCTTTAGGGCTACTTTAGCCATACTTCTGTTATTAAATACTCTTCTGTCAAGTCAGAGACTATTCAGGGTCTGAGATTTTACCCTACTTCAAAGCCAGTAAATGAGCTTGCCACAGTTGCACAGATGCTGGCAGAAGACATGAGACTCCCAGGTCAGAAACAGACAACCTTATTATGCACAGTACAGCAAATAGCATGGGCTTTATGTTCTCTTGGTTTTCCTTGTTCTCCAAACCAAGACAATGGGGACAATGTGAGTAGGTCCAGGTAAATGCTATACATACAGTTGGTTTGTGTCACATCTGAAGAGCCCCAGGCTTAGGAAACCTCTAATCTTATAAGGTAACCACTAGTAAATCTGCCACACTTTGTCCTGGAAGGAGCCATTCACTTTATTTTTCTGGTCAGGAAACAAATCTGTCCTCTGTGCTGGAGGATGACACTATGCCTTCCGAAGGCTATTGGCTAGACTAACATCCTTCGAAAGACAGTCTAGGTCAAAAGTTGTCACAAGACACACAGAAATGCCTTGGAGGATTGTTGTTTAGCACCCACATGTTCAAGAGGCATTTCCACTGGTTGTAACTCAAATGCTTGTCAGCCCTGTGAAAGTGTTGCTGAGGTCTCTGTGCCCCAGTAGTTCTTCCTCTGAGAGTTGTTCTTCTAGTAGTTGTTCTCTGCCTGGCCTTACATAGTCCCATTTTATGGATGTACATCTTAGTATTCATGTAGACTCAAGATGATTTTTATGCAGATTTCTCGTCTCTTGTGGTGCTCTCTTTCTCAAATTGTGGTCGCCCTCCTAAGTTCCTGTCTCTCTCTTAAGCTCAACAAAACCACTGTACTCTGCTTAGGTTCCCCTTCTTTGTATATCAATCCATAGAGTGCCTGCAGGAAGAAGGCTGGAACTCGCTTCATTTTTCTTTCCCAAGAGATCACAGTCCTGTACTACCTGTTGTTCAGATTTTCGAATTGGTTATTTTACATATTTTGTCTATTTTTACTATTTTTTATAGCAGGATGCTAGTCCCTATTAGTTACTCCATCATTGAATCTTTTCTTTTTTTTTTTTTTTTTAAACATAGTCTTGCTCTGTCGCCAGGCTGGAGTGCAGTGGCGAGATCTCGGCTCACTGGAACCTCCACTTCCCAGGTTAAAGCGATCCTCCTGCCTCAGCCTCCCTAGTAGCTGGGACTACAGGCATGCACCACCATGCCCGGCTAATTTTTGTATTTTTAGTAGAGACGGGGTTTCACCATGATATCCAGGATGGTCTCAATCTCCTGGCCTCATGATCTGCCCGCCTCAGCCTCACTAAATGCTGGGATTACAGGCGTGAGCCACTGTGCCCGGCCTGATTCTGTCTTTTTAGCATTTACTTCTTTATAAGTTTTAGGATTTTGATTAGCATAATCACTCTGAGCAGGAGATATTTTTGTTGTCACCCTTTCTTTGCCTGTCTTCAAGTTCGATGAATATTTTTATCTGCCCTTTTCCCCATTCCATACCCCATTCCAGAACCAGTTCTTAGAATGGCTTTAGAGGGCTCCTACTCCTTACTGATATCGGGAATATGGCCAGTTCAGTAACTGAACCAGCTGTTAGCTCAGCTCGGTTGCTGTGGTGATGTTTTTCTTTTGTCATTTTGCCCTCTTGGGTCCAAAGCTTCCCATAAATACACAGCCCCAGGCAGTATCAGAAGCCGTTTTATTCAGCCTCCTTTCATGAGGCTGGGGAAAACCGGGTGACAAACCACTATTTGCCTGGAACTAAAGGGTTTCTTGGGATTTGGGATGATCAGTGCTAAAACAGGAAGAGTCCTGGGAAAACCAGGATGGCTGATCACCTCAGTCATGCCCCAGTTTCTGACTTCCAGTAACATGGCTGGCATTGGTCTTCATCTTGAGCAGAGCATTTTAGTCTGCGTATTCCACAAGAGCTGAGTTTCCAGTTGCCACTAGCTGCGTCAAGACCCAGACCCTGATCAAATGCGGCTCTAGCCCAGCTTACTGCTTTGCATTTCTATTGTGTTTCTGGTCCACAAAGGTATTACTTTTATTTTTTGAACCCAACAATGGCCTTTTAGTTTTATTTTTTTTCTATTTTATCTCTCATTACCATGTGTTTAGAGCATAGAAGATAAGCTGAAACATGAATTTACTATGCCACCTTGATTGGAAATTCTACTGATTCTTTTTCAATTTGATATTGTCTTGATTTAGGAAATAATGTAATTTAACAGCCTGCTTTATTGAGAAACGCTCCCAACTCTCCCTGTCATTTTGAGGGATCTCAAATCCAGAAATTCAGGTGAAATATAGTCATTTTCCATATAGTGGTTTCATTGTTTCTTTGAGGGCATCATAACTCAGTGCTTGAGTTAGAATAGAACAGGGATAGTATCCCAGCTTTGCTCCCTCCTACGTCTGGTTGATGAGAATGGTATCAGACAGTGCTCTGTGTCCCTATCTCCTCCCCATCTCTACTTCGAGCTGTTCTCTTTCCTCTTCCTATTCCTCCATTCCTGAAGAGGCAGAAGGAACAAAGTTAAAGAGGGGATAGGGCAGTGGTTTCCAACCTCTTAGAAGATATGGGTCTTTATTTTATGCAACCCTCAATCTGTTCTTGGAGAATATGTGGATTTTCAGACCTTTTGTCATAACTTTCTAGCCTTTCCAGAGTGTTACTGCCTCTGAACTTGGGCAAGAGGAGGAAGAAAAGCCTTCCTACTTGTTCATTTGCCTCGAACTATGCTCTCTCTATGTTCTTTTAGATGCAAAGATTTTAAAAAACAATTTTCAATCTTTTGCTCTTTCATACTGTTGCCAATAACAGTCTAGGGAACTGTCTAGTGAACTGCATTGTGATTTACAGTAGGCATTTAAAATATTTCCAATGGATTACAGAGTTTTTGAACAT